ATTTTGTCACCCACCCTTCCACCAAAAAAAAAATCAATTCATAAATAAACAAAATATTTCCCTTGTTTTATAGAAAATAAATAATTTGCACAACAAAGTGATTTGAGAAATTTCATAGGGATCAGTGAACAATTTAGAACTAAATTAGATACATACGTAGAAAAAGTTTCGATAAATTGGAGCCACATTAAAAAAAAAAATAGATGATTTGATCATCAACAAGATTGCAAAAAAAAAAGAAAAAGAAAAAAACTAATTAGAAAGTAATTTACAATCTTGTTAGAAGACCAAAAATAGGTTTCACAGGTCGGTAACAAATAAATGATTAAATTGCCACATCGCATATCAGTCGTAAATGTACTACTAATTGTCTAATTTACAACTTATAAGAGACTGGTATTAATATTTGCAAAATACTTTCAAATAAGCAGCCTATTTGTCACTTTATAAGAAGTCGCATTTTTGCCAGAGAATCTTATTTGCGACTAATTTGCAATATAATTTTCTTAATATAAATTATATGTCTCCGCTGTTATTTTATTAATTAAACTAGATCATCACCCGTACTAAAGTACGGGTTGAATTTTATTTATTACAAAATTTATATAATATATATATATTAGAACTAAGTTTTAATATATTATAATAGTAAGTGAAAAAATATTAATTTTTTTGTCAGTCCCTATATACAATATTAGAATAAATATTGAATTTTTTCTATAATACTCAATTATGGATAATTTTTTTTTTAAGATATGAAAACGGAAAATAATTTTATTTTTTAAAAAGTAATATTTTTTGAACAATGAGTTAATTTATGTTAACAACCACAAAATAGGATTGCATATATTTCAGTTAGATCAAAAATTAAAATATCATAAATGAATCGCATATAAAACATAGATTATTTTGAATTAATTAAGAAAATTAGCTATTATTTATTTAGAAAATTCTTTTTCAATTTATAATTCTTTGGTTGTTGAAATAGAGATTTGTTTGAGCTAATCTAATTACAGAATTTGTTTGAGATTTATAATTACGGAATTTACCAATTATTCGCATAATCGAATATGTTATAAACATATATTTAGTATATAATAATACCAAAATCAACCCGTACGTGGAGTCTATATTTTTATTTTAGAATCTCAATATTTCATTTTAAAATATTGCGTGCACAATCTATTATTCATTAATTCTAAAATTGCTTGCGGAATCAAATTTTTAAATATTTAGAGGTGTCAAACCATATTTAAATGTTCTACACTATTTTTAAATATTCCAAATTAAAATCTTTAAATTTTTTTTGTAGTTTATAAAATTATGAATTTCAAAAAAACAAATTATATGAAATTAAATATAACTATTCAAATAGTTATAAGGATCAAAACTCATTTCATCATATAATATATTATATTTAACCCGCTACCTATTATAAATATTTTTAAAAATAATCAAATTAGAGTATTTATAATTTAAACTTTTTGAACTATTAAGTATTGATGATATTCTCTAAAAATATCAAGTAAAACTTATTTTAAATGTTGCAAATTAAAATATTTGAATTTTTATTGTAGTATATAAAATTATACATTTCAAAAAAATAAATGTATGAAATCGAATATAAATATTCAAATTCTGACCCGGAATTTTGGTTGACTTTATTTTTGTGTAAAAGAAATATATTACTCAAGTCTAAATTTTTGACCCGTTTAATTGTTTCCTTTATAGATTGAACAATTTATATGCGTTTTTAAAATTTCAAATCTTGGCATATGCAGAAAAAAAATTACATTTTTTTATTATGTAGATGATATGATGATTTATTTGTTTCATATTAATATAATCATATTAAGATGAGAGGTGAAGTTTAATGATTAATAACAAATTAATATGGTGAGTTAGATATCAAATCTTATATGTTCATTTTGATTGGTCATTTAAAAAAAAAAAAATAATAACAGATTTTCGTTTTATAATTTAATTAAATTAATTAAATGACATAAATTAGTATTTTACTTGTTTATCCTTAATAAATTGAATGAAATTTGTTCTAAAAGAAGATTTTTGTAATGGCATTCTTAAGTAAATTCTTACAAAAGAAAGGTTAGTTAAGGGCATCTTATAAAGTGTACTCCCCAAATAATAGTATAGGATCATCATTTGGTTTTATTTTATTAATTTAATGTCATGATTTGGTTAATATTGTTTGCTTGGGATGGAATGTCATGATTTTTTATTAGTCGATTATTTTATTAATCGATAAATTAGTTTATCGATATATAAAATAGATCCGAAAATCAATTTGGAATGGGAAAATATATCGATTATAATTTTCTGGAGGTTATACTGTATTTAATTATCCTTTAAAAGTTTCTGGTCAATTTTAGTATAGTTTGAGGTTTTGATCGAGTATATACATTGAAAACAAGTATAAAACATATATGAGACTTCTATTTATTTTAACATTTAATTACCCCCAAAAGAAAGATATTTTCATATTATTTGTAAAAGCTACCACCAAAATATTTTCTCATTACATACCATTTTATCATTCCGGTAGCTTTTTTTTTGTTTTGCTAATCTTTAACCAAATATTGGCTATTTACACTAAAATTTCTATGAATTTAAATGTTGTAAGTATGATTATTTATTAATTTACATAATTATTAAGTTATCGATATATTAGTTAACCTGAAAAATTAATTTGAGATGAAAAAAAATGTATCGAAATTATTTTGTATCTAATTATTCTTTAAAAGTTTCTGATAAATTTTTTTTATAGTTTTAAGGTTTTGATATATGTACAATTGAAAAGAAGTATAGCGTTACAAATATAAGTGTTCATGTAGATCTAATAGATAGTATCATATATATGTACATTGTACAGTACAAAGAAGTCAACGTTTACACTTTCCGTGATAAGAGTTTTTAATTATAATATTAAATTATACAATAACTCAGAACTTGGCATGTCAATTAGACGAGCAGAAAAAAACGTCACCACATACGTACAATCCCTGGAGATCGAACACGGGAAGGTATCATTTGCCAACACAATGACTGTTTAATAAATTATATTATACTACACGATTAACATAAAAAATGGGCATATCAATTATTTGTTGATAAGATTATACTGTATATAGGAGAGATTTTATAATGGCAATATATAACATGTTAATTACAAGAAGATCACATTATTATAATATTTTTATGATAATACATTTACTCATATTTTATTTACAAAAATATTACTATGTATTTATGCAACTAGGAAAGAATTAAAATTAGGGAGACTCACAAAAATGCCCCTTTTTCAATACCCCTTTTTAAAAATGCCCCCTTTGGCTGTCCATTTTTAAAAATACCCATTTTTATGTACAAAATGACTAAATTAACCTTCTTTTAATAAAAGATATCACAAATATATAAGGAAATATAACAAAATTAGGTCCACAAAATACAAAATATTTTTTGGCGGGAAAAGTGATCCCGTAATTTTTTCCGCCAAAACACTTGTAAAAACTTGTAAAACCTTTAAAATACCTTGTAAAATTTTCCCGTAAAATTTTTTCCCGCCAAGAACTTTTCCCGCCAAAAAACATTTTTTGCGGGAAAAGTGATTCCGCAATTTTTTTGGCGGGAAAAATTTACAAGGTATTTTAAAGGTTTTTTACAGGGTATTTATAAGGTTTTACAATGTATTTTAAAAGGTTTTACAACGTATTTATAAGGTATTTATAAGATATTATAAGATTTTACAAGCTATTTTATAAGGTTTTACAAGTTATAAGGTTTTACAAGTTTTTTATAAGGTTTTACAAGTTATAAATACCTTATAAAACCTTATAAGTACCTTGTAAAACCTTTTAAAATACATTGTAAAACCTTACAAAACACTTGTAAATACTCTGTAAAACCTTTAAAATACCTTGTAAATTTTTCCCGCCAAAAAAATTGCGGAATCACTTTTCCCGCAAAAAAAAATTTTTGGCGGGAAAATTTTTTACGGGAAAATTTTACAAGGTATTTTAAAGGTTTTTACAAGTGTTTTGGCGGGAAAATTGCGGGATCACTTTTCCCGCCAAAAAATATTTTGTATTTTGTGGACCTAATTTTGTTTCAAATAAGGGTAAAATGGTCATTAAAAATTAAAAGAGGGCAAACTTAAAAATGGACTCTCAAAGGGGGCATTTTTGAAAAGGGGTATTGAAAAAGGGGCATTTTTAACAATTTCTCTTAAAATTATTTACGAAAATAAATTCATTACGTACAAAACATTTGTCATTATTTGTTACTGTGGATTATTTCAAATAAGAAGTATGCACATAAAAAATTTTGAAAGGGGAAAATGTAATCAAGTGGTTAAGTCTACTTGATTTCATCTTTTCCACCAGAATTCGACTCTACTAAATCGTAGACTTGTGTATTACTTGCAGAATTTGTAGACTTACGACAAACTAAGTTTGTAGCCTTATGTACTATTGGCAGAATTTTTTCGCATATTTATGATATATATGCATGGGTAGTACTATTTTCGTTCAATGGTCAGTTCGTTATTCTGCAAATTTCGAAATATTTGTTTAATGACCTAGAAATAAAGACGTAGGAGGTTACAACCCACAAAAAAAAAAAAAAAAAAAAAAAAAACAACAACAACAAACAACGACAAAACCAAGACAAGGCCTCAACGAGACCCGACTTCACAGAACCACTTCCAAATTAAGTCTAAGATGAGCAAAACCAATTATAAAGGACAATATAAACCCGCAAAATATATAAGCTAACGAAACTTCCTATGACGAAGTTAGAATACAATGAACTTAAAACCACAAGGATAACTCCCAAACTTTTAGTCGACGCAGTATATATGCATGCTCTATATATACATATGACGACACTTTAATAAATAGTAGTACTATTATCAAATTATAACCGTATCTCGGAATCTGGAGCAAAACTATATACTTATTGGATATAGTATACGACACATATAAAAGAGTAAATGATGTCAAAATAGTAGCTAGCAATAAATAAAAATGAAGAGTTGTGTTGTGAAAGGCTGCATGCAAGGCTGATAGGTACGCACATGACAAGCATAGGGAATTGCTCTCAGGTTTTAATGTCGCAAGAAGACGAATTCAATTCCATCCATGTGCTTTACTAGATACTAGTAGAATTATACCGCCTCCATTCTAAGTGATACCCATGAAGTTGTACATTTTATTAAATATTGATACATAAAATATCTAAAATGTTTTTCTGTTGTTCTTTTCTTTGGACGTCTTATTAGCTCTTTGTTTATCCCAGACTGATTATATATTGAAATACTAAAAATAAAAATAAAGGGATTTTTTGAAAAATATGTATTGGTGGTGATTTTATAGTTTTTCAAGAATCAACTAAACGAAACTCTATACGTAGAATAGAAATATCATTGGATAGGAGATTTTCTCCCTTAAATCTTCCTACGTTTTTTTCTTTTTTTTTTTGATAACTTAGAGTAAATCTCTAGGCTTATGGAGGAGTTCAAGACTAATCTCTGGGGAGAGGGTGTTCCACGGTAACTCGTTTATTAGTTTCTTTTTCTAAGTAATCTCGAGTGATAAATTTAAATTCGTCACCTAGTTTTAGATTTGAGGATTTTAGCCTACCAAAAATGTTTGATTGGATGCCTAAAAGAAATTATTAGATGACCAATACTCTCATAATGATGAAAGTTGATGTTAAAAATGTTAGGATTTTGATCCTAAACCCAATCTTTATAAAATCAATTAAGTCAAAAATAAAATTGCATGGATAATATATAGTGTTTCACACACAATATAAGAACTACGTCCACATTTCACTGCTACGAATCTCATTCAAATCGAGAGTTGCAATTTTTCTCGCTCTTTTATCTCTCTCGATTTTAAATCATAAGAAACTGTGACAATGGTCTAAACTAGAACACATCCTCTAATGAAAATAAGCATAAGTCTAAAATATCCACTGAAACGGATACACAAGATCATGCTCCTCAACTCAACAATTTTCATTTGGAAATTAATCATGATCATGTGTTATTTACTTATTTATAATGGTTCCTTTAAAATTTTAATAGTCGATATAATAAATAAAAATAATGTGTCCGCTGGAAATTCTCAATCTAATAATCTTATTAAGTTGCATAATTTCAATTTATTAAAACGGTATGTTTACAGAGGTGTCTGCAGAATAACCAGTTACCTTTTAACCATCAAATATTCGCTTTGAATTCGAGTCTAATTAAGCAATAAATAATTTACTATTTACGGAAGTATGCGGAAAAACCTATTACATTTTAATCATCAAATATTCGTTTTGACTTCGAGTCTAGTTTAGTAATTTACTGTTATTACTGAAAAGGGGTATGTGCAAAAAAATCAGAAACTTGCTAACTAATAAAAAAATAGACGATATGCATATGCTATAAGTAATTATATGAGACAAAGTAAAGTGGAGACACAAAATATAACGTTTGGTGGTGCAAGAGTTTCTTGAAATATATTACTTAAAACAGACCAAAACTTGATATTAATATTTTAAGGGAATTCATATAGGGATGGTATATCCTTCATACCAAAAAAAAAAAAAAAAAATTGATATATTCTCTCTCTCTTTCTATAAATAGCCGCCGGCTACCACATTTGATCGACGATATGTGAATGAAGCACACAACAAAAACATCACATAACAAAGAAATCCACCAAAAGGGGGGAAAATTAGTTTCCGCTTTAAATATTGCTGCACGAAAAGAGTACCTCTTATAGAAAGAGAGAGAGGGAAATAAACTCCTGTCGTTTCGCTAAGGTCAAGGTGTCGTTTTAATTTGGTCTCTCTTTCTTTCTCTCTCTCTTTAAAACAGATGAAAATGGTTAAAGAAGAGGAGAAAGAGAGTGGGAGGAACAAGATGAAGAGTTTTGGAAGCGTAAGATCGATATTCATGCACGCGGACGGTGTAGATTGGTTGCTGATGGGCTTAGGGTTTATCGGAGCCGTTGGTGATGGCTTCACAACTCCTCTTGTTCTTCTCATCACCAGCAAGCTTATGAACAACCTTGGTGGTTCCTCTTTCAACACTGATACCTTCATGCAAAACATCTCCAAGGTTCTCTCTCTTTTTATGCTAATATAATTGACAACTCTTTTTTTCTAATTAGATTATAAATTCTTTTCGTCAAGTTTTTTTGGATGCTTTGTTGTTTAGAATCCGTTGACATTTTTGTGAGAAAACTAACAAAATTACAAACATACAACAAATTGACTTCTCCAAGTCATTGTTTACAAGTTAACATCTATACTTCAATTTGACTGATGTTTATTTTATATTTTTTATTTGTGTAATTAACAGAATTCTGTAGCTTTGCTTTATGTGGCTTGTGGATCTTGGGTTGTTTGTTTCCTTGGTAAGCCTTTCTAATAAGTAATAATATTGTTTCCTTTCCTTTTCTATGTATAGTTGACTTGACCCCAATTAGATTAACACATTTTTTTATATGGGGATGGATTTTAATAGTTTTCATTTAAAAAAAACAGAGGGATATTGTTGGACAAGAACAGGGGAGAGACAAACAGCAAGAATGAGAGAAAAGTACTTAAGGGCAGTGTTAAGACAAGATGTGGGTTACTTTGATCTTCATGTCACAAGCACTTCTGATGTTATTACTAGTGTTTCTAGTGACAGCTTTGTCATCCAAGACGTCCTCAGTGAAAAGGTCTCTCTCACTTCTAGTTATATCTTTTATAACTCTAATCTTTATATTCTTGTGTTTCTAAAACAATCTTTTATATTTGGTGTAGTTACCGAATTTTTTGATGAGCGCATCGACGTTCGTTGGAAGCTACATAGTTGGATTTATCTTGCTATGGAGACTGGCAATAGTTGGTTTACCTTTCATTGTCCTCTTAGTGATCCCGGGCCTTATGTACGGACGAGCCCTCATAAGCATTTCGAGGAAGATACGCGAAGAGTACAATGAGGCTGGTTTTGTAGCTGAGCAGGCGATCTCTTCAGTGCGAACCGTCTATGCGTTTTCTGGGGAGAGGAAGACAATATCCAAATTCTCAACCGCGCTTCAAGGGTCGGTGAAGCTAGGGATTAAACAAGGGCTTGCTAAGGGAATCACCATTGGAAGCAATGGAATCACTTTCGCCATGTGGGGGTTCATGTCTTGGTATGGAAGCCGGATGGTCATGTACCATGGTGCTCAGGGTGGTACCGTCTTTGCAGTTACTGCCGCTATTGCTATCGGTGGCGTGTAAGTATCTATAACTAAATTATGACCCATGCGAGCATAAATAATTTCTTATTTTACAATGAGATATGCAAATCGGTTTCAACAATTAAAATACAGTAAAACCTCTATAAATTAGTAATGTTGGGACCATGAAATTTTATTAATTTAGAGATGTATTAATTTATCGATAAATTAATAATTATTAATTTATAGAGAGATTTTACTAATTTTATACTTTTTTAAAAAAAATTTTATCTAATAATTTTTTTCTTTATAATTAAGCAATATCTTTTTAAAAACAATTGCAAGTAGAGAAGCAATTATTAAGTTTAAAAAACAACACAAACTTTTTTCAAATAATAGAGTCATATTTCATTAAAAATTTACATATAATATTTTAAATATATATCATAGTAATTCATCTATGACATATATAAATTTATATCATATATATATATATATAAAATTAAATATACATATATATATATATTGATAAGTTTATACAATTATAAATTTATAATATAGATGGGACCATATGTTTACATGGGATTTTCAAAAAAATTATTATCTTTTTAATTTATCGATTTATGTCATATTTTACACTGGTCCCAACTCGGGACCGGAAGAATTTATTAATTTAGAGAGGTTATTAATTTATAGAGTATTAATTTATAGAGGTTTTACTGTATTAGTATCATATAGAAAATATAGAAATAATATTTTCAATCTATCTTTTGGTTTTATTACAAAACCAAAGGATAAAAATGTATTAATGGTAAAAAAAAATCAAACCCCACACAGCTTATGAAAAAAAAACGGATATTTTTGCTGGTTAAACATTTTGCTGGTTATATGTATCTAAAGATATAAATTCTTTTTTCATATGCACTTTTGGATCTTATGGTAATTTAGTTTAACCTGTCTATATATGACTAATGTTTGGAGGTTTTTTTTGTAGAGTGTTAGATAAATTAAAATACATAAGTTATTTCTTGTAACAAAGAAAAAAAAAAAAAATGTTGATCGTAAGTATCATGATCTTGATTCTTGATCTTTGGTATCTTTGTTATTGCTTCAGATCACTTGGTGGTGGTTTGTCTAATCTCAAGTACTTCTTTGAGGCGGCTTCAGTTGGGGAGCGAATCTTGGAAGTGATAAACAGAGTTCCCAAGATTGATTCGGACAATCCAGATGGCCACAAGTTGGAGAAAATTCGAGGAGAAGTCGAGTTTAAGAACGTAAAATTTGTGTATCCATCGAGGCTTGAAACATCGATCTTTGACGATTTTTGTCTGAGAGTTCCTTCCGGGAAAACTGTGGCTTTAGTGGGAGGAAGCGGGTCAGGAAAATCAACCGTGATATCGCTTTTGCAAAGGTTTTATGACCCGCTTGCAGGCGAGATTCTCATAGATGGTGTATCCATTGATAAGCTACAAGTGAAGTGGTTGAGATCACAAATGGGTCTTGTTAGCCAAGAACCTGCACTTTTCGCCACAACGATAAAGGAAAACATATTGTTTGGTAAAGAAGATGCATCCATGGATGATGTTGTGGAAGCTGCCAAAGCCTCTAATGCTCATAATTTCATTTCTGAGTTACCCCATGGCTACGAAACTCAGGTTAGATATTCTAGATTTGAAACACATCGATTACATTACCTTTTATTAGACGTTTGACTTAGTTTTTGTGTTAAAAAAAAATAGGTTGGGGAGAGAGGAGTGCAAATGTCAGGAGGACAAAAGCAGAGAATCGCAATCGCACGTGCAATAATCAAATCACCAACAATTCTTCTTCTAGACGAGGCAACAAGCGCGTTAGACTCTGAATCCGAAAGAGTAGTCCAAGAAGCCTTAGAAAATGCCTCGATTGGTCGTACAACTATCCTTATCGCTCACCGTCTCTCCACCATTCGTAATGCTGATGTTATCTCCGTTGTTAAGAACGGTCAGGTTGTGGAAACTGGATCACACGATGAGCTAATGGAAAACATAGATGGTCAATACGCAACACTTGTTCACTTACAACAGATTGAAAAACAAGACATCAACGTTAGTGTGCAAATGGGTCCAATCTCGGATCCGAGCAAAGATATAAGAAGTAGTTCTAGAGTGTCGACTCTTAGCCGTTCAAGCTCTGCTAACTCGGTTACAGGTCCAAGCACTATAAAGAATCTTGCCGAAGATAACAAGCCGCAATTACCGTCGTTTAAGAGACTATTGGCAATGAATCTACCGGAATGGAAACAAGCGTTGTATGGTTGCATAAGTGCAACCTTGTTTGGTGCCATACAGCCAGCGTACGCATATTCTTTAGGGTCGATGGTGTCTGTTTATTTTCTTACAAGCCACGACGAGATCAAGGAGAAAACAAGGATCTATGCATTATCTTTTGTGGCTCTAGCCGTCCTTTCTTTCTTGATCAACATCAGTCAACACTACAATTTCGCATACATGGGTGAATATTTGACTAAACGTATCCGAGAACGGATGCTCTCTAAGGTGTTAACATTTGAGGTCGGTTGGTTCGATAGAGACGAGAACTCAAGCGGCGCCATTTGCTCTAGACTCGCAAAAGATGCTAATGTGGTAAGTACATGAAAAATCTTTTTAACGAACAATGTTTTAGTGTTTCTTGATTTTCTTATGTTTTTTTTTTTTTCTTTTTCTGATAGGTGAGATCGTTGGTAGGTGATCGAATGGCATTAGTGGTGCAAACCGTATCGGCTGTTACCATAGCTTTCACAATGGGCTTGGTCATCGCTTGGAGGTTAGCACTTGTGATGATTGCGGTGCAACCGGTGATTATTGTTTGCTTCTACACTCGTCGGGTTCTACTCAAGAGCATGTCGAAAAAAGCAATCAAGGCTCAAGATGAAAGTAGCAAACTAGCAGCAGAGGCTGTTTCCAACGTCCGAACTATTACAGCTTTTTCATCACAAGAACGTATCATGAAAATGCTCAAAAAGGCCCAAGAAAGTCCACGGAGAGAAAGCATTCGTCAATCATGGTTTGCAGGGTTCGGGCTCGCGATGTCGCAGAGTCTCACGTCGTGCACGTGGGCTTTGGATTTCTGGTACGGTGGTAGATTGATCCAAGATGGGTACATCACGGCTAAAGCTTTGTTCGAGACGTTTATGATCTTGGTTAGTACTGGTCGAGTCATTGCCGATGCTGGAAGCATGACCACAGATCTAGCTAAAGGTTCGGACGCGGTTGGCTCGGTTTTCGCTGTGTTGGATCGGTACACATCGATTGATCCGGAGGATCCAGATGGATATGTAACGGAAAGAATAACGGGTCAGGTTGAATTTCTTGACGTAGATTTCTCGTACCCGACTAGACCGGATGTGATTATATTCAAGAACTTCTCCATTAAGATCGAAGAGGGGAAGTCTACAGCCATTGTTGGTCCAAGCGGGTCAGGTAAATCCACTATAATTGGCTTAATAGAGCGGTTCTATGACCCGCTAAAGGGTATTGTGAAAATCGATGGTCGCGATATAAGGTCGTATCATCTAAGATCACTTCGTCAACACATAGCTTTGGTTAGCCAAGAACCAACATTGTTTGCTGGGACAATCCGAGAGAACATCATATATGGAGGAGCCGCCGATAAAATCGACGAAGCAGAGATTATCGAGGCGGCGAAAGCAGCGAACGCTCACGATTTCATCACCTCATTAACCGAAGGCTACGACACATATTGTGGAGACAGAGGAGTACAATTATCCGGTGGTCAAAAACAGAGGATCGCTATCGCTAGAGCGGTTTTGAAAAACCCGTCAGTGTTGCTTCTAGACGAAGCGACAAGCGCTTTGGATAGCCAATCGGAACGTGTGGTGCAAGATGCGCTCGAGCGTGTTAGGGTAGGGAGGACAAGTGTTGTGATTGCACATAGGCTGAGCACAATCCAAAACTGTGACGCAATCGCTGTTTTAGACAAAGGCAAACTCGTGGAACGTGGGACTCACTCTTCCTTGTTGTCAAAAGGTCCTACAGGTATTTACTTCTCATTGGTCAGTCTTCAGACAACTTCTGGTTAACTTAAACCATGTCGTTTCATCGGTAATGAAATTGGCCACAACATTGTATTATTTGTAATCAAATAAAATGTCCAAAAGTTTTATGTTCAAAGCAGGCTACAATTTCAACACTATAGTAAAAGAATGTATAAAGAAAACAACGCTTGTTAATTGAATTGAAATAAAAATTAACGTTTTCACAAATTTCATCTCAAAAAGCGGAATCCGGGGATAAGTAAAAATAGATATGACCGGGGATAAGTAAAAATCCGGAAATGCGGAATCAGAACTCATTCAGTGAGAAAAGTATCCGAATGCACTCACATTTTGGTCATGATGCCAAATAAGAAGAGAAACAGTTCGGACAAAGAAAGATCATTGGAACATAACATAAACCCACTTCAATTTTCCTCCCAAGTTTCACTCTAAATTCAAATGATATTGCAGTTCCAATAGATGGCAAACATAAGTTTTCAGTAACTAGCATAGAAAATGTATAGACACTAGATTTTATCTCACGGTACACCGCGGGTCGATTTTTTAACTTTAAAATTAAATTTTAAATTGTATTTTTTAATATTTTTTGTTTTGTTAAGTGTTTAAGATTGTATAATTGTATTTTGATTGTTAATTTTAAGATTTCATCCGTGATATTAATACCGTCCCGTATTAATATCGATTCAAACCCGTCCCACTATATAACTCCGTCCCGTGAAATTAAACATCATTTTGTTATTTTTAATAATATTTTATTTAATAGATATATAATTCGAGTAAATTTAAAAGTTTGATTTTATATATATATATATTTTAAAATTTTAGTTAATAATAATTAATTATATATAATGATTTCTGAATTAATTGCGTATGACCGACGGTTAAATGTAGGAATTGTTGAGATCTTTTAAGAAAATCGAATTAAATATGGATGTAATTGTGGCAAGGATTAGTTATGCTTAATATATTATGTTAAGATTTTTGGAAATGATTTTTTATGTTAATATCTTTGATTTAATTTTGAAAATCTAAATAATTAATGTCAATGACATTTGATCGTAAATAAGTTGGAACTCCAGGATTTATTTCATAAATGTCTCCAAAAATGTATATATAGATTATTAACACAATAATTGCAAACGTTCATCGTTAATATGATATTTGATAGGCTTGGTAATGGTTCTAATGAGCCGGTTTTGGGCCAAATTTGTAAAATTCAAAATATACCCTTTATAGTAACATGTCTTAAAAGGCCACGACTTGAGGGCTACATAGAGTAATTAAGGTCCGTTGGAGTTATTACCTAGGACTTATTACTCTCACACCTAAAGTTTTGACTTCTTTTTTTCTGTCTTCAACTCAATTGTTTTATTTATTTCTTTCAAATTTTCAGTTTTTTTTCTCAACATACATTCTATCAATTTTGAATTTGAATGGTGGCATAACGACACCACGTTATTGGGAACAAGTTAAATCTTTCTTTTCATCTATATTTCTTTTATTAGAATTAAAACACTTAAAAAAAGATGTTTAAAAAAAAAAAATTAAATATGAAATTATCACTCAAAATGTATAAATGCAAAAACATGTGTTCAAAAATCCAAAATGATAGAAATGATAACAAGCAACAATAATATATACTAGTTTCTTAAACTGTCTAACTCAATACTAAAATACTAGATTTTAACCCGCGGTACACCGCGGGATGATTTAATTTTAAAGTTAGTATAAAAATATTTTGTAAATTGTATCTCCTTATAACATATTTATTTATATTATAGTTTATAATTGTTATTAAGTAACGGTATACCACGAGTCCACGAGATAATTATTAATAAACTGAGGATTTAACCCGTATTAAAGCGGTATATAAATATTGATTCAAATTCGTCCGCCATATAAATCATTTCCGAAATATAACCCGTTCCGTAATTTCTTAACCCGTCATGTGATTTGTATTAAAAAAAATAAGGATTAAATCCGTATTGAAGCGGCGGATTAATGATATTTTAATCTTTTTATTATTGTTGATTCAAAAACCCGTCCCGCCAAACCCATCCCGTCAAAAAACTCATTTATTTTATTAATGTTCTTATTTATGATATGATTCTGAATCATTGTCTAAATATTTTAATCGATGTAGAACGTTGAACACACATTTTCGTCAATTGGATAATATATGTCCGTTTTTAAAATTTCGAATCACAGTATATGCAGAAAAAAATTGATTTTTTTTTTTACTTTATGTATTATATGATGATTCAAAACAGTTAAAAACAAATCAAACAAAGATGATAGGAGAATCATAATTATAAATCTTAATCAAATCTTCTAAAAATCTAAATTATTAAATATTGAATATCCGGTGTATGAGTTGGGTTAAATATAACCCGACCCAACAAATTTTTTGTGAAGGAATTTTTAAATGGGTCGGATATCCGATATACCCGAAAGCTTTTTTACCCACCCGTCACAAAAAGTGCTGCGATTATACGTATAGATAATACAGTATATACTAGTTTCTAACAGCTTTTTTGAAAAATAATATATATTCTCCCTGTTTTAATTTATATGTAGTTTAAGGATTTTGCACACTAATTAAGAAATTTTTTACCCTTTATTAATATATTATACAATTTTTTTTTCATTGGTAAATATATTAAAATATTAGGATAAAATTGGAAATCTTTGCAAACATATACATTGAAAATACAAAACAACACTTATCTTGAACTACTCTTAATATGAAACAGTGGAAGTACTAGTTTCTTATACTTCATAACTCGATACTAAAAAATAACTAACTCGTTAGTAAAAATAAGTAACGCGCCAAAATAACTTAACAGTGGAAATAAATAAGGGGTCAAAATAATTTATTAACAAAATAAACAGAGCACCAAAAATTTGAATTGAACAAAATGGATTAACCTTAAATTCATAAATATTCAAAATAAAAAACGAGCCAAAAGTTTGAATTTATTAAATAACAGAATTCATTGACCTTGAATTTATGAATTTTTAATTTATTACCTAAAACATAAGATTAGCTTTCACTTTTTTTACTTATTTTTCTATTATTTTGCTAATAAAGTAGTAATGAAAAATTGAATAGAAATACACTTGAATCTGAAACTATGGGGACATTAAATGGGGAAATTTGTCAAAATCAACCTAAACAATTTGTTGGATATCTTTTCCAGTCCAAACTATAGCACAATGCATTTATAAACCTGAACTATATAACTGTTAGTCGAATTTTACATTGACTTTAACGGTGTTAGTAAACCGTTAAACGGTGCTGAGTCAGAGGACATTGTGGCGACAAATTGTCAATGATACAAGTGTTATAAATGCGAAATTAAAATTATCTTGCTACAATTTTTCTTTTTCTACTTGTCAAAATTTGATTTTTTTTTGTAACTATCATTATGTACACTCTCAATCTCTCATATATATATACCAATATCCTATGTTCAAAAGCTTTAAGCGGTTTGTGAGTCCATATTATAGATTCTATTATCGCTTGTGTGAACAAATCTTTCAAATCCAACAAGAATTATTCTTATCCTTGGGCTCTTTTCACGGCATTGAAATAGCTGATTTTTTGTTCTTACTCAAAAAGACAACATTTCCTTCTTTCTTTTTTTTTGCGAAGTGAAATGTTGTTTTATTAAGTGAGAGAAAGCCACTGGCCACATGTATTATAACACTTCTCGTTGGGTTAGAATTTAGAAAGATTTGCTAACACAAACGACACTGGAATTCATAATCTGGATGGATTTACAAACTGCATGTTATTTTCATACGTTGGATATTGCTCTATTTATTATAGATATACAAATAAGCTAAGGAAAAACACAATATATATATATATATATATATATATATATATATATATATATATTATGGGAGTGCGTGCAAATGACATAATGGTGGTAATTAGTAAAAAAAAAAAGTCCGAGTTTGATGGGGAGAGTGGAATAAAAATTGTAACCTGGAAAATTTATATTCACAGTTCTAAAATCTGTTTTTAGTTATATATATAGAATATGAGTTTAATGATTTTTTTTTGGAAAAATATACTTAATTTTATAAGATTATTAATAGACTGAGGCACAAATTTATAAATCTTTTAAGCACAGAAAAAAAAGAAAAAAAAATCTTTTAAGCACAGAAAAATACAGAAAAAGAACTTTCGTTCTTATGGAAGTCTTAGTCTCCAGCGCACGACCTATATTCATTTTCATATAACTTAATAATCGATTGTCGGTTTGATATAGCTGAATTTCAATGGTTAACCAATTATTATATTAAAATAAGTTTATATCCCCTCTAGTAACTAATATAAAATTCTATAAATTGATATCTTCTTTTCTTGAGCTGAATTTCCTCTATTATAATAAAATCTCATACTATAATATGTGTAAATACTAATGAAAGCAACTTTTAATTGAGTGGCTTCTAAATAAGAAGACGCTAGAACTGGTAATGTTAGGAAGTTTTGTAATTAGGTAAACATAATTCCAAAGTGAGATATATACTCATTGGGAAAAATGTCATTTAAATCATCACTTTGCCATTTGTGGAGGTTTAAAGCATGAACTTTGAGTCTGGTGTTTTTAATCCTCAATTTCTAGTTGACTTTCAATTTAATCTCTAACTTTCGTTGACGAAGCCGATTGAGGCACGTCTTTAACTGGACAAACGGAGGATTAAGACGCTGTTATCTGTCCGTCTAATATATCCGTTAATAAATGTAACGACGTCATTTAATCAAATGAAAACCCCCAAATTCGATTAAGCTCGAACCCTAGAATACCAAATCGAAATTAGAAATACAAAATCGAAGATTCTCTCTCGTCTTGATTAGAGAAGAAAACGAGAGAGAATCTTCGATTTTGTATTTCTAATTTCGATTTGGTATTCTAGGGTTCGAGCTTAATCGAATTTGGGGGTTTTCATTTGATTAAATGACATCGTTTAGCTTATTAACGTATATATTAGACGGACAGATAACATCGTCTTAATCCTCCGTTTGTCCAGTTAAAGACATGCCTCAATCGGCATCGTCAACGAAAGTTAGAGACTAAATTGAAAGTCAACTAGAAATTGAGGATTAAAAGCACCAGACCCAAAATTCATGCTTTAAACCTCCACAAATGGCAAAGTGACGATTTAAATGACATTTTTCCCTATACTCATTTCAAAGAATAATGAAATTGCCAGCCCACAGCCGCACATACAGCTGTCTTCAAACATTACACTATATCTTTGTTTCTTATTTGTGAATTTAATTTTAATGAAAAAAATGTAATCTTTATAGCAAAAAAAATCAATTTTTAAGAAAGCAGTTTTGCATGATTAAACATAAAACCAATAATAAAAACAGGTGAAAGTATAATGGCTGCTTTTCTGTAAACATAAAATAATTGCATATAGATTTTTGTGTATCAAGATGTTGGAGCAACTCTTCTAAAATGTACGTCTTCTGTTTTAATTCTATTCCAAATTTAAAATTTTGATTGTGTTGTCCACAAAAAATATCATAGTTTAAAATTATTTTACTTATATTTTTCAGAACTTTTATCCTGGCTTTTTTCTTCATTTGTATCGTTTAGAAAAGAAAATAAATATATTCCATTCAGATTTTTTAGTAGCCGTGAACATTTTGTTCATGTGGAATTCATATATGCTATAAATAGTAGTTCAGAAAATTTGCTAATCCAAAGAGATTAATGTGTTAATTTTTAAAAAGTGAATATTCCTCATAATAACAAATTACAACAGTTAGATTTGTTTGGCATGATGCTACAATTAGTATATTACTGCCAGCACAAGAGAAATTTAATAAACTCTACTTAGGGAAACAACAAATTCTAGTCATAGAAATGGGTGAAAACCTGCAAATAAAATCCATCTAAACGAGGAATACTCACATGCTTATAGAGTAAAACACAAACACATAATTATTTTAATTAAAAGGAGCATTGTATCCAATGAATGTGAGCTGACCATTTAAATATATTATTATCTTTTGGGCGTTAGTCAATAGTTATATATATTAAAAAAAAAAAGATATATATAACTGTATATCGAAATAAGTAGAAAAGCACATGGAGCCATGTGTTCATCGGACCATTATCAACCCATATTCTAAAATTGCTGGATTCCTACAACCTAACATGCTTTTCTTTTATATGTAAACATTTATGTCGATGCGTGTAATGTGTATACATTTACATGCGTATTCATTTAATTAAATTAGTAGTTAATCTTTCATGTTTAATATTTAATAAGACTTTATGTTAATGTTGACTATGATGACTTCGTTAAACCTAACATTTATTTTTGTAACCAAAAATAGGTTAAACTTATATATCGTTTATTTAAAGTTGAATATGAATCACTCGTAATTTCTAAAAACATTTGAAAATTATAAAATTATAAGAGAAATATATATGCAGGTTGAAACCTTCGCTTTCGCCCCCAAAATTTAACTAATTAATATGTATAGATCATCTGACTCCTAAACTGTAAGAACAAAATTATATATAAATCATCAAGTCTTCAAATTGTAATTGTTTATGGTCCCATAAATCTCAAGATCAGCTCTATATATATGAGAAAAATCGAACGGTTAGATCTTGCAAATAAATATGTCATAAATTTTTCAATATAAGAGTCTATTTTTGAACTAGATGTTGCACTTGTACATATGTAACTGGTCATAAATGTATCCTTAATCTTTTTAACCATATACAATGAACAATATTCACCAATACATTATTTTTGCTATGTTTCAAATTAAATGTTCTGAATAAATATAAACTCAAATTCGATGTTTGTATTGAATTGACTGTGAGATAATAAAAATAGTAATTTTATGGGTTTCTAGAAATAAAATAGAAAAATACCTAAGAAAAAAACAATGATAGTGACATAAAAAGAAAACGAGTTTTTAAAGAAAACGAATTTGACCATCTTCTTTACAAAACCGCGTTTCCTTTCTTGTCTTTGTCTTCTTCGTCGACCTTTCTCTTCTCTCTCCATAAATTCCAGAAACTTTTCTCTAGACACTTTAGAAACACCAAACCTTTTTAGAGCTCTGCTTTGAGATTAAGTTCTCTAATGATGTCTGGTTCAAGATTAGTCTCTAGACTAATAATCTTCTCAATAATCTCCACAGCTTTCTTCACCGTTGAATCGATTCGATTATTCCCAGATTCATTCGACGATGCATCTTCAGATTTCACGGAGGCTCCAGCATATCAAAACGGTCTCGAATGCTCTGTTTTAGCGAAAAACAGACTCTTGTTAGCTTGTGATCCATCAGCTGTTCATATAGCTATGACTCTTGATCCAGCTTACTTGCGTGGCACGGTATCTGCAGTCCATTCCATTCTCAAACACACTTCTTGTCCGCAAAACATCTTCTTCCACTTCATTGCTTCGGGTTCAAGTCACGGTTCGCTCGCTAAGACTCTCTCCTCTGTTTTTCCTTCTTTGAGTTTCAAAGTCTATACCTTTGATGAAACCATGGTCAAGAATCTAATATCTTCGTCTATAAGACAAGCTCTTGATAGTCCTTTGAATTATGCAAGAAGCTACTTGTCGGAGATTCTTTCTTCGTGTGTTAGTCGAGTGATTTATCTCGATTCGGATGTGATTGTAGTTGATGATATTCAGAAACTATGGAAGATTTCTTTATCCGGATTAAGAACAATCGGTGCACCAGAGTATTGCCACGCAAATTTCACTAAATACTTCACAGAGAATTTCTGGTCCGATCGAAAACTCTCGAGCGTCTTCGACTCCAAGACTCCTTGTTATTTCAACACCGGAGTGATGGTTATCGATTTAGATAGATGGAGAGAAGGAGATTATACGCGAAAGATCGAAAATTGGATGAAGATTCAGAAAGAAGATAAAAGAATCTATGAATTGGGTTCTTTGCCACCGTTTCTTCTAGTGTTTGGTGGTGAGATTGAAGCTATTGATCATCAATGGAACCAGCACGGTCTTGGTGGAGACAACATTGTGAGTAGTTGTAGATCTTTGCATCCTGGTCCGGTTAGTTTGATACATTGGAGTGGAAAAGGGAAGCCATGGGTTAGGCTTGATGATGGTAAGCCTTGTCCAATAGATTATCTTTGGGCTCCTTATGATCTTCACAAGTCACAGAGACAGTATCTTCAATACAATCAAGAGTTAGAAATTCTTTGATTTATTCATTTTTTTGGAGTTTGGTATGGTAAATTTTGTGAACTCATTACATGGATTCTATTTTTTGTTTTTTTTTTGATGTACATATAACATAAATACATCGAGGATTTTGTTCAAGATATTGATTATTGATCTTTATCAAATTAGTAAATAATTATGACAAAGGTCTGTTTTCTTTGTATATATATATATATATATATATATTTTTTCTTTTTCTTCATTTGGCATATATAAGCATTCTTTGCTTCATGAGTTGCAAATAAATATTAGCTTATGTGTTGTGTTCTATGTGTTCTATGTCAAATAACATACCCATAATTAAGAAAATAGCGCGCAAACATATTTTTATTTATCAAAATACATCTACATATATTGCTGTCAACCTAGTTAACTCTTAATAAGTATAATTGGGTCATGTGTTTTGTTTTGTTACATGTGAAATTATGTTTACCAAAATTCAAAACAAGTTAGTAGTAGGAGAGGGACCCAAAAAACAAAAACAGTAGGAGAGGCAAGACGGAATCACAGACCCGAGCCATCCATAAGGCAGGTGAAGCACGTTCTTTAGGCCACAACATATAAAAAAAATCAAGAGACAAAATAATTAAAATAATCAATTTGTTCTAATGTTTAATTACTTCAATGTTAAGTACTTAAGTCTAAGGACACAAGTTCTAACAGTTTATTTGCTTCTTTTCTTTCTCTTCCTCGCATTTTCTCAATCCTTTTTTTTTTTACTTTCCCATCTTCCCTTTTTCATTAGATTTTTTTTTAATTCACTTATTAGTTGTTAGTTTTGTTATTTTTTTGTTAGAAAAAATCCCTTAATAGTTGGTGCAAAATTTGATGCACGAAAAGTTAGATGGATAATTAATTTTCATAGAGTGTTTTACTTTATTAAAATATTTAATGATATTTCATCAACTATTTTTTTATATAAAAACATTATACCTTTGATATAACTTTTCTTATTCATAGATTTAAAGTATAAAAAGGCTACATCTTTTATATGTGCTTTAGGCCACTTGAAACTAATCAACATACTCCCACTCTAAGAGCATACACAATGGGATAAGTGGGAGTATGAGTGTGAATAATTTTTTATTATTATAACTAAAGAGAGAAAGAAAAGAGAGAGAAAAAAGAGAGAGAGAGAGATAGAGATAAGTAATTTTTTAATACTTACACTCACATGTAAACTTACACTCACATGTAAAGAGAGAGACAACATTTTGCAATATTTCTCTATTTTAAAATACATACACCCGACAGAAGGATCCCCCACTGCGTGTGGTCTTAGAAGCTGGGTTGATCCTGAATTTTTGGGGGCCCAAACAAAGAAAATAATTTTGGAGGCCTCTTCTAAAATTTTAGAAAATGGAAGCCTAATTATTTATTATTGCCAAAAAAAGAAAATTAACACCTATTTATGTATCACTAGTAGTCTAGTACTATATTAGGATCCGTGTAATGCACACGTTAGTTAATTCATGTTTTTTTTTTACAAATTTAGTTGGTTTTAGTATAATCATATGAAAATATTATGTTGAATATAATTTAAAAATTCACTTATTATAAAACTTTGAAAAAACTTTATATGATAAGATTGTTTTGTAATAACTTATCTAGAGTACGTATCTCTAATCTAGAATACGTATTTGTGGTTTATTTTTCGCGTCAAGAACTTCAATTCATTGTTCCAAATGATTTCAACGAAACAGTAACATGTGGATGTGGTTGGCAGACTTAAAATTAAGAAGAGACAAACCCTATATATTAAGAGGCGTGGATAAAGAAAATAGAGAGATAAGAATGATGAAAAATGTAGTGAGAAGTGATGTCAGTTGCCCATTTGGAAACTGCAAATCCATAAAGGACTAGCCGAAGCACAGATCCACCTTGTTCATTAATCTCTCAAACTCCTTGGCTTATGTTTTACATATCTGGGGTTAAATTTGGCGTTAATCAGAATAGTCGCCTAAAGACCCTGTTTGACTACGGATCTTAGACAACGCCTCGTGAAAAATCTCTTCTGATGACCCAAATCGTACCCACTATTCATGCTTACACGTTTCTCCTGCCACCATGGGGTTCCTTCCACTGAGATGATACGATGCAAAGCTTACTCGTTGTTCGCTTGGTATCTCATGAAGGGTGAAATATTGTTTGAGTTTGCTCAACCATTCCGTGGGATCACCGCCATCAAACCGTGGGTACCCGATCGAGCATGATATGTTGGTATTGGTTAGCTGGTGTGACGAACGGCGGTGCTGCCTCCTCTGTCCGCCCCACTGGTAGGTGGTGCTCCGGTTGTTGGTGTCCCATAGGAGCAGTAAGCTTGCGTTTGCCTCTTCCATAATACACTCATACAAAGCTTGTCACCCAGCCCGGTTTGCATTTTGTGCACAACGTCCTTGACCAAACCCATGCCCTTCTCGAGCTCGTCAAACTTATCTTTAGTGTTACCCATTGACTCCAATGGTGGCGTCAGTGGCAGCACAATCGATTTCTTTGATTGTCTTTTGGGTGAAATGATGTGTTATGTGTAAAACGAAATTTCGGAACAAGCACTAATGCTTTGATAGCTTTGATTTTTGTCAAAGCTTGAGGAAACAGAGTAAGTATGAAAAGTCGAAAAAGAACAAGAAATTTTGATTGGCAATTGAGAAACATTACAAGAAGCAAAAAGTGGAGTCGTGACTCCTACAAACAAGGAAATAATGGAAAGTGGAGAAGATGGTTTCCTCAACAAGAGGAAGAACCGGTCATCCCTTATTTTAAAACCGAAACACTTGAAAGAAAAATACTGAAATAATTAAACGGAAACCAAGAAAACCATGAGACAAAATTGTCTCATGTATTTCCGGTTTGGTACTTTGCTTCTGTTTGATGTTCTGCGCCTTGGTGCTTCGGTTCCATCAAAACATCAAACATTGATAAAGTTTATTTTCCAGAACCATTGATCTTTTCCAAAACGTGAAGTCTCGTCTCTTTGATCAATTTGCTATATACATCCACATCATCACCAATCTCCTTGATTTTCGTTGTTAATTTCTCCACTTCCTCCACAAGGCTTTGCATGTCTCCTTTCATGTCCACCGCATCTCCTTTACTCTCAATAGCATCATCCACAGCTTCCAACATAGACTTGATCTGATCTTTTAGCTCGTCGACTTGTTGAGATACGGAATTTATCCCTACTTGGTCGGTTATTGTACCCTCACCTATCTTTGGTGGTATAGATTTCACTATGTTCAGAGCTTTTAGCTGTTTCTGAAGAGCTTCAAGACTATCATTCAAGACATAATTGACGCCCACCCATTGCACCGCAAGCACTGGTATTCCCAGAGCCCCTACAGCGCCCAGACCAGCACCCACGCCTGTACACATTAGAGCTATACATCCGGCAGTGTAAATGACACCCGCAGCGGCGAAAACCACGTGCGAAATTATAGTCACTGTCTTTACAGTACTAATTTTTTCAGTAACCTCTTCTATTTCCTTCATAATCCTTTCTCTAGTATCAGTCACTTTCTTTAAAAGGGATTCCTGCTGCTTGTTCATCAACTCGAACTGATTCGAATTGTTTAAAAGGTTTTTTCATACCTCTTCTTTTTTACACCAACATCCTTTTCTTCCGAGTCTTTCGCAAACTGTGCCGCGGCCGCTTCAATGTAACGTTGGCCCTTTTTTGCTTTATGGACGCATTGCGTTACAGTCTCGAAAATCTTCAATGTCTCCTTGGTACTGTTGAAATAGTCTTGGACCAAAGATACTAGAGTTGTGTTCTCCCACACAGCTTCTCCGCATTCAGTAATGATGCCTGCCACCACTTTGCTTACTTCAACTAGGTGCTCAGTGACCTCCTTGTGTACTGTGTGTGGGGACACCGACCCAGTCTTGGCTTCAACGGTGAGCGAGTCTATCATTTTTTTGGTTCGCTGCTGAAGGGCAGAATCAAAGGATTTGAGTTCTGGGTGGTGTCCCAAGGCGGCTCTGTAAGCATCCACTTGTTTTGAGTATCTCGACATCTTATCTTTGGATAATGCCAACTGAAAGGAAAAATATCAAGAAAAAGTAGAGAGGTTTAGGACAGAGTTTTGCATACACAGAGCTTCCCAAATCAGATATTTCGAAACATTTTTTTATTTTTTATTAGTTACTTATATAATATTCAGTACAGTACAGAGAAAAAGATACAGTTACATGTAAAAACTCATGAAGAAAAAGAAAATTCTGATAATAAATAGAAAATACCAACAACACAAAAATATATATATAAAAAAAATTGGCTAAAAATTGATATTTTTATCAGAAATATGAATATATATATATATATATATATGAATCAAAATGAGCTAGAGTTTAAGAGAGATAAAATTACCAGAAATTTGATCAGAATACAAGAAGATATATCGAGCTTATAAGTTGAAGATTGAATTATTGGTTAGGTTTGTGATCTACAAGTATTTATAGGAGAACATAGGAGAAACCGTGTGGCTAGTTACAACTATAACCTCAATAAATGTTTATATATCCCCAAAATCAACCTTGTCAGTTGTATACAGTAAAACGTCTTTAAATTAATAACGTCGGGACTGAAAAAATTTATTAATTTTTAGAGGTGTTATTTTATCAATAAATTAATTTATAGAGAGATTTTACTAATTTTGTAATTTATTAAAAACATTATAGAAAAACAGTTTTTTCTTTATAATCAATATCTTTCTAAAATTAATTACAAGTAGAAAAAAACTATTAAGTTTAGAAAAAAACACAAACTTTTTCTATGTAGTAAAAATATTAGAATTCAACTCTACCAAGAATTAATATAAATTTGAGAAAAACAAACAATACTAAAGTCATATTTCACTAAATTTGTTACATATAATATATATATATATATATATATATATATATATATATATATATATATAAATTTATACTATTATTTATTTATGATATTGATGGGACCATTTGTTTACATAGAATTTTCAAAAAGGTTATTATCTTATTAATTAATCGATTTGTGTCATATTTTACATTAGTCCCATCTCAGGACCGGAAGAATTTATTAATTTATAGAGGTTATTAATTTATCGAGTATTAATTTATAGAGGTTTTACTGTCATTTGTTATGACAATTTATATTCTGCATATTATTTTACTATTGGTTATATTGTGTTTATGTAGACAATAAATGTTGTTTTAGTTTGGAAATAAACAAAAATTATATATTTCCTTATTGGAGTGCAAAAACTTTAAAATAAAAAATAGAGGGAGTAATTCTCAAAATATTTTTGAGAATTTTGAGTTGTTCATATTCAACCTTAAGACAATTACATGGGAAAGCAGAGACAAATTTACTAAAGAAACGATACATAAATTTATTTTGTTTTTGTTAACAACAATAAATGCAAGCCTATGCATAAACTACTATACTATAAATTTTGGCGACATTACACATGCATAGACATAAATCACATGTCTTTTATAATATTTTATTCGATTACGAATCAATACAATAAAAACACTAAGGATCTCTCCAGGCCTGACACATCAGCATTTTGGAGTGTTCTGGGCATGACACGTCATTAAAATCGTCAGCCAATGAAAACATTTCAATTAATACAACTCAGATTTTTTGGCCAGTAATATTTGTTCTTTGCTCCATGTCACTTTTAAACCTTTTCTCACTTAGGCTTATTGTTTGAAAATAAGTGGGCTTATTATTATTCAGAAGTGGGCTTTAGTATTGATTGACTCATACAAATTGTATTCTCTCCTGCATCTTTCTTTATCTCGATTTCAATTTTTCAAGAGTAAAGACGAAGACGAGAATGAGTAACTCGATCTGGTCAATCCTTTAGTTCGATCAATCAATAGGAGATTTTGATTGGAGAATTAAGAAGTTTGAAACTGGTAGATCGCAGTTTGTGAGACCGCGACGGGCCGGCCCGCTAGGACCGCGGGAAAAATGATATGTCCAGGCCCACCCCGCTAAGCCCAACGGATTAGCGGGCCGGCCCGTGGACTTAGTTTTAATATTTAAAAAATAAAATTAATTTTAAAATATGAAATTAATAATTTTTCAATTTAAAAAAACTTTTAGTATTAATTTTTTTGTAAATCTTATAATTTTATACATTAAATTTCTTTATATGTTCATATATTTAACACATATAGTTTTAGAATTATGTAAAAGTATTTGTTTTTTTATATTATTTATTTATTTTTATTAAATATTTGTAGTCCGCGGACCGACCCGCAAATCCGCGGACAAAACCCGCAATCTGCATGGGCTTGTCCGCGAGGCCCGCTATTTTATGGACATAAAGAATGATGTTCAAGCCCGCTCCGCCATGGGCTACTTGGACAAAGCTCGCGGGCTATCGGCCCGCTTGACACCTCTAATTGAAGATGTTGAGATTATATAATTTAAGTGCATGAGTCTCCTCCTACTGTCTGAGTTAAGGAAAAAATTTAAACAACCAGTCTTTTTGCTTCATTATTTTGTTCCAAATTATAGAAAAAGACTGGTAATCTCTCTGTTGCATTTTACTTTGGTGCAAATATTGGATTTGGAAAGGATGAGGTAAGGTTCTTTATTTGATTCAGTTTTTTATTTGGAAAAGTTTGGTTCGGTTCACAAATATTGTAGCCAAAGTTAAGCTGAATTTTTTATTTAGTTTGTAATTTCAATTTATATTCAACAATTTTGGTACATTTCGCTTAACAAACTACGGTTTAGACAAAGAAATGTTCTAGAGATCGGATATATAAGCCGAATTCGAGTAAAAGGCATTCACCTCATGGCTTATGCATTGTGTTCCCTCGTAAAGCCACTTTATATCAAAAGACTTTTTCTGTTAAGTGTTTGATTTAATAAAGTTTTCAACAATATGATTTAACTATTCTAAAATATATAATTTATCCAAAAATATACCCCGCAGCGTAGCGCGGGTTTCGTCCTAGTTCTATTAAAAACTAGTTTAATAGTTAGTTGGAAAGATTTGGTAAATTAAAGTTCTACAATATTCAGGCGTGAATTCGGCAGCAGAATCAAATGTTCATCAATAAATTACTATAGTCAGATAATTAAAAATTATTTCGTCAGATCTTTTTATCGTTTTGGTTAATGCCTATGAGTCTCTCAACGACGTAGGTGAGAATTGTGCATATGGTCCAATTGTACATGCCAGTTACTTGATACGGAGAGTCTTGTTCGTTATAATTAAAAACATTAAGTAAAATCATTTTTAGTCTTTGACTGGTTTGGTGAAACGTATTTATGTAGTTTTGGTTCAAAAAATCAACTTAATGTAAACCATATTTAATTGAAAATAAAATACTCTATAAATCTTGCTTATTCCTAAGCATATCTGAGTAAACTGAAAACAAAGTCGATCTTGTTATTGTGTGGATATAGAAAATATGGTTTGATTTCCTTCAATGTGTTCATCCCACGACATACAATAAATATGAAATAACTATATGTTGATCATGTTTTATCATGCAATTAACTAATTATGTTAATCATGTATAATCATGTAATTATTTATAATTAACATATAGATATCGAAATAAGTAAAAAAGAAAACTTATGGAGCCATGTGTTATCAACTCATATTCTAACATGCTTTAATTTCGTTTTATATGTATTATTTATGTCTAGGTGTGTGTAATGTCAACATTTACATGTGTATACTTTCATTTAGTTGTGGTTAGTTAATCTTACATACAATATTTAAAGACTTATGTCAGTATTGACTATGATGAGTTCGTAAACCGGAAAAATGGGTAATAAAACCCTCACCTTTTTTAAAAATATATAAAAACCCTCACATTTTTAATGGGTTTTTAAACCCTCATCTTTTCATAAATGGTAAAATAAACCTTATTATTAATAAAATCAATATAAATTCAAACAAATTGTTGTATTAAAACATAATAAAATATAAAAAATTTGATTTGGGATTTTTCTTCTATAATTCTATTTCACAATCTTTTTCGAAATTGAAAATTTTGAAGTCATGATGTAAAAAATTTAATTGTATTCGGTTGGGTTACAAAAATTCATCAATGTGAAACCAAGCAGATTTTGTTACGAATAATATATAAATTCTTATATTGAACCGAATATGAGTTTATGTTAATAAAAGTTTATTCAGTTCGATCACACAAATTTGCTATCGTGAAACCAAACCAAATTTTATAATACTACGAAAAGTACATGAATTTTCACATCAAAATATTTTCATCGGACAAACTAAATAAGATTTAGTAACACTTAATATTTCTATATACATATTACGATATATTAAAAATAATATAAATGATATATAGTTAATTTTTAACTATATTTTTATCCAAAACCTAAAAATTCGAACAAAAAAAAAATCAAATGTGCTATCCTATAAATTTTTGTAGTTTACATAATCTAACTTCTAATGGTAACAAAAATGATTTACCTAATCTCAACTCAATTGTGAATGAATATTTATAGCTCAAAAACCATAATTTTAGAAATAAAAATTGCAAACTGGAATTTGAAACAAAATCATAAATTGATTGTTTTTGTTTCTTACTGTTTTAATGATTTTAAAAAATTAAGTTGAGTTTATTAATACTAGGGTTTATTTTACCACTTATGAAAAGGTGAGGATTTAAAAACCCACAAAAAATGTTGAGGGCTTTTAACATGTTTTTAGGAAAGGTGAAGGTTTTTCTACCCATTTTTCCGGTTTACAAACTCATCAAAGTCTATACTGACATAAGTCTTTAAATATTGTATGTAAGATTAACTAATCACAACTAAATGAAAGTATACACATGTAAAATATAATGTTGACATTACACACACCTAGACATAAATGTTACATATAAAACGCAAGCATGTTAGAATATGAGTTGATAACTAACACATGGCTCCATAAGTTTTCTTTTATATTTATTTCGATATCTATATGTTAATTATAAATAATTACATGATTATGCATGATTAACATGATTAGTTGCATGATAAAACATGATCAACATATAGTTATTTAATATTTATTGTATGTCGTGGCATGAACACATTGAAGGAAATCAAACCATATTTTCTATATCCACACAATAACAAGATCGACTTTGTTTTCATTTTACTTAGATATGCTTAGGAACAAGCAAGATTTATAGAGTATATTATTTTAACTTAAATATGGTTTACATTAAGTTAATTTTTTTTGAACCAAAACTACATAAATACGTTTCACCAAACTAGTCAAAGACTCAAAATGATTTTACTTAATGTTTTTAATTATAACGAACAAGACTCTCCGTATCAAATAACTGGCATGAACAATTGGACCAGATTCACAATTCTCACGTGCGTCGTAAAGAGACTCATAAGCATTAACTAAAACTATAAAAAGATCTCATGAAATAATTTTTAATTATCTG